CTTTATGGAGTAATTCTAATGCCTTTTCTCTCATGATATGAATGGTTTACAGAAAGTGGGAGAATACCGGCAGCTGGAATTCTGGACCTAAAAAAGTTACGTCAGAGCTACCTATTCTGCACATCTCCAAATGAGATAAAAATTTACGGAGAATTGTTTTAGAATATATAATAAATACTAGAGCAAATAACTACCGGAGGAGGCCACCCTGGTGAGCACAAGACACCAGGGCACGCCTGGGGCTCGGCCCACCTCCGGTGCCCATCTTCTGATATATAGGTCATTTTGATCTAGAAAAAAAAATCAGAGGGGGACTTTCGATATGAAGCACCGCCGTATCGATGCGGAACTTGGGCAGGAGCACTTTTGCCCTCCGGCGGAGTGATTCCGCCAAGGGAACTTCCCTCCTGGAGGGGGGAATCATCGTCATCGTCATCACCAATAACTCTCTCATCTTTGGGAGGGCAATCTCCATCAACATCTTCAACAGCACCATCTCCTCTCAAACCCCAGTTCATCTCTTGTGTTAAATTTTTGTACCAGAATCTCAGATTGGTACTTGTGGGTGACTAGTAGTGTTGATTACATCTTGTAGTTGATTACTATATGGTTTATTTGGTGGAAGATTATATGTTCAGATCCATTATGCTATTTAATAGCCCTCTGATCTTGAGCATGATTATCATTGTGTGCCACTCTTCCTTATAAGGTGGTACTAGCCTCCTCGCATATCCGAGGTGGGACTAAAGTCACCGGCAACGCCAATGGCCAGTGTCTCTGACACCCAATCCCCCCTAAACAGGGTAGACTGGGCCCTAGCTCTGATACCGATTGTTAGCGTCCCAGACCCAGCTCCCAACCTTCGACATATGTTTCAACGTTTTTGGTGCGCATCGGACACACCCTTACAAGCAAAGAGCCCACTACATCCCAAAAGACTAGTCTGAAGGGAGTGTGTCACTCTTCCTTATAAGGTGGTCCTAGCCCCCTCCCATATCCGAGGTGGGACTACAGTCAGTGGCAACGCCCAATGGCCAACGTCTCTGACACACACTGTTTTTATGCTCAGTTGCTATTCCTGAGGCAATTGAAATAAAAAGTACGCATTATTGCTTGTCGTAGAAATGGATGTATCTAGATGTAATACATCCATTTCCGCAACAAGTAATTCAGGACGGAGGGAGTATGTTTCAGTTAATTTTTTCTTAGAGAAACCTATTCTTTGACTACCGTGCTCTGTTCACTTCAAGATTTCTTTTCTCCCGGGTTCGGTTCATTTCCTAACAACTATTTTTTCTTCAATCACTCGAATCAATCTTGGATTTTTTTGCTTCCATTGACGACGAATTGAGAGGAGATGGGATCCGGAAAAGAAGAGATTTTTTTTCTGCTTTCATCCAAGCTTTCAAGAATCATTGTTTTGCTTTTCTTTCGGGAATATTTCATGCTATGAATTTCCCTTTAATCATTCAAGTTAGATATAAAGATATGATAGAGATTTGATTCTTGATCCAATTGGTACTCTTCTCTTGAATTGAGGGGTGGCCAGAACACAACGCATCCCCGAGATCGAGCCAAGGATGTTGCGATCGGCCGCGGCGTCGCCGCCAGAGGTGAGGAAGAGGGTTCACTCGTGCGGATGAGGAGGAGGGGGTATTTTTGACCTCTCGGAGATTACAATGCCCGAGCTTGAAGCAAGCGTCATTCCCGTCATCGGGTAGGGGCTTACACGGACCTTGTCAGAAACATGAATAACACGACTCACCTCCTTGCCTGAAACAAGTGTTGCCCCACCGTTGTCGGGCTGCTTTTGTTGACGGTTCCTTTGGTGGTGCCGAGGGGAGGGGAGGAGGGAGGTGGTGGCCGTTCTGGTCACCCCGCACTACTCGAGGCACCAAAGACGACACGGGGCAGCTCGACCTTTCAATTGATACACAATGTTGTAAGAAAGTTGCAAGAATATTTTTTTAGGGGAGTTGCAGGAATATTTACAACAAATGTAATCACATAAACCATATACGTGCATTGCTTCGTTTTCAGAAACCAGGTTGTGTTAAAAAAAGGGAGTTCAGGCTACTCCTATGTTCTGACAGTAGAGATGGCCACGCCTGCAGCATCCGCAAGCAGCTGATGGAGCGGTACCTAGTAGTACATCACTAGATCATGTCGGCACGCGTTGCTATGGCCGTTGATTATTGATATAAAATGGTAGGAATTTTTGCAAGTATATGAAGACGCGAAAGATTATATAGGATATTCTGTAAATATATGGAGATACCAAACATGTATTGTGAAGTCGGTTCGATCATTATGGACACTGAATGGACAAATGATCTGTAAAAGTCTTTCACCGGCATTTTCATGTGTGACCTACTCGTCGTCTTCTTAACCTGAATTCTGCCTGTGTTAGACTTCGTTGAACAAACATGTCACAACCTGCATTGACTTCCCTCTAGCTGCATGAACACATATCGGGTGCAGATGAGCTCGGGTACAGAGATGGATTTCCGCCTTTATAGTAGTTTCCTATGCTTGTAATAATTGTTTACAGATCTACAATACGTTGTCTTAATAGCACATCTATTGGCTTACTGAATATTTCTTAATTATGGATCCAAAATTGAAGGATATTTCTTAATGTTCACAACATATATACTCAGAATAACTTGCATCATAAATAATTTACATTTGGTAACGCAACTGGGGAGTGCAAGTCAGCTTCATCAGCCAAAGCTACGTACAAATTCTCAATCTTTAAGTTTCTCCCACACCCTGTCTATCATATAAACCAGCGCTTCAACCAAACCAGACACCTACTATGTCCCATCAGTACTTTGTTTTTTCTCCAACCTAGGTAAATAATTAAGAAAGAAAATATCACCTTTTATGTTTGTTTGTAGTTGTCATCAAAAAGTCTGCTGAGTTTTCCTTGTGCTCGCACGACATCCTAACAAGTTCTCCTAATTCCTGTGATTTGCAGTTTAACACCGCTGTTCTTGAATACTTTCAGTTAAGGTTTTTTGTGCTCCCAGCCGTGAAGATGCATCGGCTGAAACCATTCGTGATTGATCTCACCAGCAGGTTCTTGGGAAATACAAGATCTGAAGAAAACAATAAGAATATGGCCCCTAAATTTGACACCCTCCGATAATATAATCACATCTCAGCTGGAAGGTTGATGTATGCGAAATAGAGTAGGAACAATTAAAACCTTGACATCACAGTTCAGACGGACCGAAACATCATATAACTTAAAAATCCTCATTCTCTCTCAGAACGAACACATAACTAATGTGAGATACTCACCTGACAGAAAAATGGCTGCCATAAGAAAATCAAGAAACCTAACATCGTAGTTTCAAATCGATCCAGAAGTCAACCAGGAAACGTGCTAACCTATGTGAGTAGGATGCAATAAGAACCACGGTCCCTAGCACAAAAGTAGAGGAACACGACATGCAAAAACCAGTGCGACAGCGCAGACAACAGCGTCGTAGTGATCCACAATATTTTCATTTGATCCATGGTGTCATTTGGACGCATCAACGCCTTGTCTATTTCTTTTTCACAATTTTCACTTGTTAAATAACCTGCTAGATCGGATGCAATTATTTAAAACAGTTCTAGAGAGTAATATCATATCATGTGATTAAAACGTACATAGACACAGATATTGATATTTTGATATTAGGCATAAATTTAGTTAAACGAGTCATAAGAACACACTGATACTAACATGTGCCCCAGCCATTGTATGCCGACAGATTCAGCTGAAAAAAGGTAAGAAACCTAACAATATGTTGTTCGTCCATTAGGCCGAAGTTTACCACAGAGGCCAAAAAATGCGACCAGAGCAGCGGCCATAACGGTTGGCGCTCGTTAACAACGAACTGCGGCTGTGGGGCGATTGAGAGCAAATCTGACGGTCAAAAATGCATCAAACTAAGGATCTAACGGCCAAAAAGGTTAATGGTCTGAGAGGGCTGGAATAGTGCTGCCGGAGGTCCACCTCCGCCGCCAATGCCGCCGCCGACCACCGCGGGCACACTCCCGAACAGGGCTCTCCACGCGCGCCTCCTCCGCTCCGGCGCCCTCGACGCCGACCCCTCAGCCGCCGCCCCGCTTGCCGCGTCGGCCGCCAACACCTCCCTCCCCTACGCGCTCTCCCTCCTCCAAGCCCACCCCTCCACCTTCTCCTACAACACCACCATCCGCTCCCTCGCGCACGGTCCCCGCCCCCACCTCGCTGTCGCTCTCTACCGCTCCATGCTCC